AATACAATACTTATCAATTTAAACGAGATACATAAATAGTAATGTATCATGCACTAATTTTTTTAGCTATGATCGTAAATTTGAATTTATACTAAATGTATCAATTACATAGCAACTACCACACAATAATGTATCGATCTCAAATCTAACATCTTATGGGCAACAATTATTTATTTAATGTATCTAGTATAAATACAATACTTATCAATTTAAACAAGATGCATAAATAGTAAAATGCTAAGTAGCAAAGATATTCATGATGTATCTTCTCAATTTTTTCGACAATTTTGAATCAAAATTGAAAGGATCTTCAATAAATTAGGAGAAGAATTTTGAATCTCAAAATTTTCAACAATTTTGAATCAAAATTAAAAGATTCTTGGTGAACTTGGAGAAAAAAGAATCTTGTATCTCAATTTTTTTGATAATCTTGAATCAAAATTGAAAGGATCTTCGATGAACTTGAAGATTCAAAAGGATATCGTTTGTCCAACAACAATGTCATCACTTTTGTATCCTTCATAACTCACCTCGCTTACCCAAAATTTTGACAAAAGTTTTTGAATCAAATTTGAAAGGTTTCTTCATTGAACCGGGGGGATTTGAAATTTTGAATTTCTTCGTTCTATTAGGATTTGCCTCTATATGATTGAGAGTAAGAAGAAACATAAGCGTAATTTATGGGATTTAATTAATTTTCAGATTTTATTCCTTTTTTAGCGCAACAGAAAAAAAATTCTTGTATTAGAATTAATGTATCCTGATGGTGAATTAATGTATCTGGATGATGACTTATATATCCGGAAGGTACAAATTTTAAGGGATTATTGTAATTAGAAAAAAAGTAGGGATAAGATGTAATTTACTCTTTACACTATGAGATTTATGTAAGTTATACTAAAATATTAGTTGTTTTCTATTATAATATTAATTGAAGATTTACCATTAAGATATGAAATTTAATGAGGATTGTGACATAAATCCTAAAATCACAAAGTTTAGGTTTTGAGCATGCAAATGGACTTAAAATGTGAATCTAAGTACATATTGAAATCTTTAGCTAATAAGTAATTCAATTCTGAGTTTTATTTTGGATTTAACAGGTTTAGCGAAGGTTTATTTTTCCTTACTTTATTAGGGGTTAACTTTGACTTTTTCTTAAATTATGAAAATAAATCATCTGGTCTCCACATTATTTGATATTTTTCACAGATTGAGATCATTAGAGGATATTTGAACTTTGTCAGGTTGGAGAAGTCTTATCATATTCGGTGTAAGAGAGGCTTTAAGCTCTTGAATACTTGCTATGTCGTGATTTTTAAAACTCACATAATAACTTTCAAAGCAGTTTTATAGTATTTGAGTAAGTTAAAATGTACTTATAATGAAGCACTTAATTTTAAGCTAAAATGACAAAATTAAGAAGTGAAAACTAAAAAGTTAATCCAAACATGCTCTTAATTGTAATCAAATACTATGATATTGAGTTGTTTCTTTTATAAAAATCTAGTAAAATTACCCGCGCTTCGTGCGGAAATTTAATATCACAGAATTTATAAAATAATACTTAAAATCTATCAATCATTAAAACTAAAACACTATATTATTTTACATACAAGATTACGTAGTAACGAACATTAATCATGTAAAGGAAAATAAAAATATTAACATCCTATCATTTATCCTTAATAACATAAGCATAAATTTATGACCGTAAAAAAATAATACCAGAATCTGTAACATAAGCAATAGTGTCAGTGAGCAACTCAACATGAACAAAGTACATGAATATTTAATGGTGCAGAAGAAGAGGAGGTTCAAAATTTTCGTTGTTTTAAAATGAGAGGAAATCCCTCTATTTATAGACAACAAAGGGTAGTGTGAACAAATGTTTGTTGTGCCTTATTGGAAAGGTCACAACTATTTGAAAAAGTTGCAACTCTTCGGAAAGATCACAACCTTTCATAAAAGTCACATCTCTTCATAAAAGTCGTAACTCTTCATTGAAGCCCCAACTTTTCATAAAAGTCGCAACTTTTCTTAAAAGTCGCAACTTTTCTTAAAAGTCACAACTTTTCATGGAAGGGAAAGGCTAGTTTTGAAAATAAATAAATTTAAAAGAAAATTTTGGCTTGTAGTGGCACCGCGTAGGCGGGTCTAGGGTTCTCTTTTATATAAATACTAGATAATTTAAGCCCCATGATACGGGCCCAATATAATTTCACATATTTTCTTTAGAAAAATTACGTGAATTCACAACTTAAGATATCATAATCTCTAAAATTCTACCATTTAAAAAAAATTACAAAAATCCTCTTTCGAATACATCCCTATTCCCTCTCGGATACATCCAGCCCTCTCTGATACATACATATCCCCTATCAGATACATCATTCACATGAAGTAATGTATCATTTGCAATGTATCAGACAACTAAGTAATGTATTCGAGAGCAATGAAAAATTTGATATTTTTGTAATTGAGGAAACTTCTGGGATAGGATGTAATTAGCCCCAAATGTATGAAATTTCTGTACTTTATACTATTTTTTCCAGCAAACAACTTAAATACATTACTTAATAATCTGTTTCAAATGTTCATACAACATAAATGTGTCGTTTACAATCCAAATTGAGAAAATTGAATTTCAAGAAATTCTATGTAGCAAGAAAATAGAGAATTGTGTTAGATTATGAGTTAAAACATTTCGTGTTCGAGGATATATAAAATGTTGATATTTTTGAAAAAGTTCATCGATCTTCATATATTTTCGCAAGTGGTATCTATTTTTCACAATGCTGTTATCTTCTTTTTGTAATATTTGCACCATAAGCCTTGTATCTGATAAAATATTAATCATTGATCAACCAATTCGTAAAGATCGATTCAAAACCTTTCAAATCTCTATAGCTTCAGTTTAAGTATAATTTGTTTGTAGTTTACTTTGTCAATGAATTTTGTGATACATTTTATAATGTTTTTGATAAATAGAAATACTTCTATTTATTTTGATTTTACTATTGAAAGTATTTATTAAAAAATTAATTTCTAACTCCACAACAATCGAAACAATTAGGGTTGTTCATGGTTATGGTTATAAAACCAAATCAAATTGCAATCCGAACCAAATAGATTAAAAAAACCGATATTTGATTTGATTTGGTTAGGTTTGGTTTTAAAATTTGAAAAACCAATATTATTTGGTTTGGTTTTGATTTTACTAAAAATTAACCGCACCGAACCGAGAAGTTATATATATAAATTTTACAATTATTTATAAATAACATATAAGTATTTTGATAAATTTTAATTAACCTAAGTCTTTAATTTTACTATTTTCTGAAGCCCAATACTTAAATTTTAGCCCAACTATAAAAACGTTAAGTCTAAATCCCTCAATATTCATTACTTTAAAGATCATACTCTCTGTTCTATATAAAATTTTCTAACGCAACATTGAATAATCTAAAGCTCAAGCTAAAGAAGATGGTAATTTATTAGTTTTGACTATGAAATATTGGTTTTTTTTTAGAAGTAATTTCTCAATATTTTAAGGTGTAATTTTATTGAAAAGTCTATTGATAAGATGTTGAGATCTCCAGAATATTGAACCAACTTTATGCTATTGACAATGAGTTTTTTTAGTTTCCGAAACTTCGTACATTGGATGAATCACTTTGTTCGTGTAATAGCTTATTTGTGAATTATTCATGTACTAAGTGTTTTTGTCTATCAAGATGCGTATGTCCACAACAAACTTATTACTTTCGAATCGAAAAAATCTAACCAAACCGAACCAAACCGGTGTTAATCAAACCGACGTTTTTTTTTATTTGGTTTGGTTTTAGAAATTTAAAAACCAATTTAAGTTGGTTTGGTTTTGATTTTAGCTAATAACCGATCCAAACCGAACCATGAACATCCCTAGAAACAATCATGAAAGTAACTTTATTTCTATATACAATAACAATTATCTTAATGTTAAATTCTAAATTACATTAATAACTTTTTTTTATACTACACTCTAAATATCATGCCGTAAAAGAAAACTCTCTTACCCCCACAAAATAACCAATATACTTGTTTTTCCTTTTCAAGTTGTTTTTCCATTTATTTATTTTTTGAATTTTTTTCTTCCTCTAGGGTTCTCTTTTATATAGAAATATGATGTATTACTTCTAAAGCTTTAACATGATAGTTCTACGGTATCACAACATGTTTTATATTTGGTTTTATAAATCAAGCATGACTTAATAGTTACATGGGCAAGGAAGCATGTTATGACATAATACATTTTCTATATGTGTTGACATGCATAATATGATACTGTTATGATTGCACTATTTTACCTTATGTGCACCACTATGACATTCAATTTCTTTATGCCACTTATAAATTCTCCATTCATTAATTTTGTCAAACCTGAATCTTAATAGTTCAGTTGGTTGGCTAGGTGATTGTATAGTTCCCACTGATGTGCCATTTTGGTCCAAATTCAGTCAACCGATTAGCCCTAACTTGTTCTTTCCAAGTACAAGGATGGTAATGGGCGGACAATTCAATGCTAAGTTGTACATTAATATAGCAGTAAAAGATGTTTTCTTCCAAAACATTGTATTAGCTCAACCTGAAAACCTACCAAACTTTAAAATGGCCAACTACTTGTTGATCAAAATAGTTATAAGTCATTTGGACACCTACAAAGAACTATGTGGAGATCGCCTCCACATCCTGTAACGTTCGATACATTGCTGGATATAAGCCACAAATTTAATAGGATATAAAAAGCAATGATAAAAACAAAAGTGAAAACAGATCCTTAAATATGAAGCTTAACATGGCTTGAATCCAGCAATGTGTAGAACACTAGTGGAGGTGAACTTTCACATATACTTGGAGTAGGGGATTGAAAGTAGATAGGAGACAAAGGCTTGTGCATCCAAAACAAGATCTATATAACTAAGAGACATACATCAGCTACAGCATTAAAGCAGCAGAAATACAGAAACCCAAATCTTCCACTGATTGTTCAATCAACAGTACCTGGAATATATTCCAGTTCATTTGTTTACTATACAGGAACCCCGCTTCGAAAGGGGAAAGGAAAGAAAAGAAAAAGGGATTCTTCTTGCTTTAGTTCCAGGTTTACTCTTTTCTATCTTCTATGGGACAGCATAAATATACAAGTTTGGTGCCATTAATGTCTTCATGAAGGATCAGCTATACACTGAATAACTGAAAGCCAACCTCCAAAAGCAAATGAATCATTAGTTCTTGGCTCATGTTAGTTATCAAGTCCAATCAGGCAGATGTATTTGGACAAGCCGCTATAATTTCAACAGATGCTATTAGTAACGGAGGGTCAATATATTCTCACTGGGAAGTGCTCTTCATCTTTGGAACACTAGACCCAAATAATAGGGGGAAGAAATCAGGTAGGTCAAACTGACAATAGATAATGAAGTTCTGCCAAGATGCCACTACATTTCCTAGTCTCTTCTCTTAGGAGATTCTTGTTGCACAAAACAACTTCCTTCAAACATGCTAAAAGCTGAAAGCAGATTTACACATGAAACTTTCGAAGCTCTCCATCAATAATATGTCCGATATACATTTCATATTCCACCAGTGCGACCTCCCAAGGGAGGACAAGGGTTGAGATCTACCGAAGAAATCGATTTCACATGATCCCTTAAAAGTTGCTGTGACACCCGATTGGCCAAGGCTGATTGCCCATTGCAAAGTTCTCCTGTGGCAAGCCTCCCAAACTGCTTTCCCAGGGCATCATATTCAACAGATGCCAATTCTCGGAAAGCATGAGATCCTGATGGTGACCCTCGTAAAACATCAGGATCCCAGTAAGAAGAGCCATTCATATAGGGACTATTTGGAACTGTTCTGGCCTCTTGCAAGTAAACTGACTGATTAATGTGACGAAATGGGATAGCACCATTCCCTCCAGAGATTGGTGTTGATGAGCCAGATGTGTTGAGAGGGCTGGATATAGGCGAGGGAGACATCCTCCCATTTAGGTTATGAGGTGACCTTGGAAGAGGACTACCTATTGGGGAGACAGGGCAAGATATGTTCTTCGGAATGTGGATATCACTGTACAATGAAAAATAAGTCAACAATCAGAAGTACGAATACTATTGTCATGCAGTTTTCTTTTACTCCTAAGTTATTGAGATAAATTTAATGGGAACTCCTTTCCTCTTTAAAATTTTCTCAACAACGAATCATAGGACATTTGAAAGTTTCAAGTAATCAAGAGAAGAAGACCTGCAGTGAAATTTAGATTTTGATGCTCTGGATGAGTGGATAGCGAGCCTTTCCGAATCTGGTGTAGGATTATTTCTTGCAGATCCAACGACCTAAATCAAATTCGTAATTAACACAGCAGTTAACATCAACCCAGTGCACAGATTCAAAATAAAGAAACCATGCCAGGTCAACCTATTATTTTCTTGTCATAATGATTGATTCTGTAAATTGAAAAGTTCACTTGGAATTACAATTACACACATTCACACATCGAGGGTTTTGTTGTACGTCTTTAACAGGGTTTCGGTCTTCTATTTCTAAAGCTATTCTAATGTGGGACCAATAATTATTACCTGTTTTAAGGAAGACATGGGCACTTTTGAGATCAAATCTAATGATGATTAGCAACTTGACATGAAGATGCATCTTCATTTTGCACATTCAGCACCAGGATGCTTAGACTCAATTGCTTGATGTCTATAATAGCAGCTCAAACATAATTTGTTTCTTTTTTAAAAAAAAAAAACTGAAAGAAGATGTTAAATATCACCATCTTAGGCAATTTCTCCTATGATCACTTCTTTTCTGAGGTTGGGGGTGGGGTTCTCGTTTTGCTGATATACCAACACTACCTATTCTCTCTTTAGTGAAGAAGCTAAAGACACCTCATCTCACTGATCTTACTAAATTGTGCAAAAGCATTAGCAGCAAGCAATTAAACTCAGAGAACCCAAATGGTCGACAAGTTGGAACTTCCCCTCCTGATTCGCTGTCCTGCCTAAAAGATAATAATACCTATTTATTAATCCCCAAGAATTGAAGACATTGTTAGTGTCCCTAAAAACCTTGCCTCTTTATTAACCTAACTTCTAAAAATAAGCCATAATGACCCCTAGAACCTACTAATTTGTCACAGAGCAAGATAAGCATGCAAGAGTACAATCCTAAACCTTTTTCATTGGTTATACAGAAATTATATTCACAAAACATGGAGCACTACGATGGTAATGTGAACTGTACAAGAAAATAATCCTAAACCTTGACAATACCAACATCCAAGTTACATCATCTATCAGTCCAGAGTAAGCAAACGATATTTTAAGAATTATTCTAACTAAAATATGCTAAGGTACCTTCTTGGTATGTCATTATTAATAAAATTACCTTAGCATTATAAATAGAATAAAAAAAAAAAGATTACCGTATGACTATATTAAAGACTACTAGATCAATGCCAAACATTGACACATACGAATCTGAATCAAGAACGGACTTATGAGAACATGTCGGCAGAACTCAATGATGAAAGCCTGACACTACCGAAAATGCATAATCAATCAGTTTCTTTTGCTCAACTGCTGATATTAATGATTCTTTATGGTTTTAGAACAAAAGAAGAAACCAATAAAGCCATTTACACCAAGCATCATGAGGAACAAGTATTTCCATGTTTCATAACAGAAGTTCCCCAATGTCTTATAAAAGCAAAAAGACCACGATGAACAGGTAACGTACCAGAGGTTTTATCCCATTCGCAGCAGCACATGGAAGATCGAAAGATGTAGGAAACATATTTGGCTTTTCCGGAGGGGCAGCATCTTTTACAAAAGGATGCTCCAATAGCTCAGCAGCAGTAGGACGATTTCGCGGCTCACGCTGCAAACACTTCCTCACAAAATCTTTTCCCTCATCTGAAAGCTCTTCCGGTATTGCTGGGAGTTCTTTACTATTCCCAATCTTAAACATGGCAGCAACCTTTGGGCCATATGCCATAAAACACCACATAATACAGGTCAAGGGAATGAACTAGTATTGTAAGACTTGACAGTCCAAATATTATCAAGGAAAAATATCCCATCTTCCAACAATGTTCAGCACAAAAAAAGAAGAAGTGATGCTCTAATTAAGCTGCTCTAGGCCAAAATTACTTACTCCTTCATACTGACTCCAAGGAGGCTTTGATGTAGCCATTTCTAAGACAGTGCATCCAAGGCTCCATACATCAACAGCAAGGTTGCAGCCACTAGTATGCTTTATTACCTGAGTAAATGGTAAAGAGATGCTTTTACATGTTACTATATAAGTTTTAACAGAGAGGTGCACACAAAACATTTAAATTCCTAAAGCATATTCTAACCTCAGGGGCCATCCAGTAAGGGCTTCCTTTGAAGGATAATGGACAAGATTGCCCTGTGATCTGCAAATTTGTAATTGAGCAATTAAAGACCCAGCTCCATGAAAGTACAGCTCAACATTGATGGCAAGGCTTATACAGTTCCAGGTGGAGATAATCACACCAAAGCAATCTTAATGGTAAATGGATCAACTCGTACTTTATCTTTCCAAAAGTAAGGAATTAAGTTTAATGGCACAAAGATAAAAACTACAAAAGTTTTTTAATTCATTCCGACAACGCTAGTCTCGAGTTAGAATATTAGATGTGACCTGCCATTTACAATCTTCATAGCAATTGGCATCATCTTACTAAACAGGCATTTGGACATGGCCTATGAACTTGAAATCATGATTTGAAATCATTGATTTGGGTAGAGGTGGATTTGAAGTTGAAATTTTGTCTGTACATGCTAATTTGGATTTTAAAAGTTGTAATTTTCACATAAACATGAAAACCCCAAAATTTGTGAAACGATCCTTCAAGGTCCAATTATGAAATCCTTGAAAAAATAGGATGAATCAAAATATAGCTGCTACACCAAAACTAGGTGCAAAGAACCAACCAGACTGACCTAGTGGATAAATCAGAAATACAGAAACAAAAACAACAATTGAATTTCCCCAAATATGGGTTGAGCAGGTGTGGCTGTTCGGAGAAGGAGCTGTTTTTGGGTTTGGAAAGGGAATCAGTGGTTTATGGAATAATAATTGAATTTTTAATAAATATGGGTTAGTAAAGTAAGGAGTAAAGTAGGATTGGGGAGTTAACTTTTGAGGTGAATTTGAGATTTGAAATTAGAATGTCAAGTTAAAATGGGAGTTTCATTCAAAAAGAGATAAACAAAAGCACATTTGAAATGAAAAGTTGGAATCATGATTTGAGAACACATGTCCAAACGGCACCTAAATAATGCAGTTATGCAGCCTATGCTAAATCTTACATGCTTGGCCATTCCAAAGTCTGCCAACTTTATGCGCCCATTTGGATCAACAAGAATATTTGCCCCTTTAATATCTCTGCAAAAGTGCAGCTGCTGTCAGGTATTCAATGTATACTGGCAAAGATTGCTGAAAGGGTTATATCACAAAAATAATACAACCAAAGAAAGGTTTACCTATGCACAGTGTTTTTAGCATGTAAATATGCAAGCCCTGATAAAATTTGTTGAGTGTAGCTACGGATTGCTGTTTCTCCAAACGGACCATATTCTTGTAAAAGCTTATAAATGGACCCACCAGATACATATTCCAAGTAGATATATAGTTTATCAGGAACCTGATTGAGGAAAACAAATCAGAAGAGCAAGCTAAATAGTTTATATGGGAATTTATGGACGGAAACATCTATAACTCGCATGAGAAGCCCTCTAACTATACTTTGGAGTTAGCTGTTCAGAAACAGAATAAGAAATCAATACTCTAGAACAATTTGAAGTCTGTTAACATAACTATCAGTGTTGGCATTATGGCATGTCCCTCACCAAATATATATATATAGCAGGAAAATTCAATTTTTTATTGTAAGAAAAATATAAATAGATTTTAAGAACAAAATATTCAAAGAACTTGCATATTTATTTTCATAATTGCAATTTAGGATAAAATATAATATTATTTGGATTATACATAAAATATTAAGAGGTAAAAGTGAAGTAAATATAGATAGTCGGAAAAAGAATGTATAAAGAGGAGAATAGATTAATAAATATAATCTAAGTTGCTCAGACTCGGGTGCAGATCTAGAGGTTAGATTGGATCCTTCATGATCTAAATTTTTTAGATTCGGGATACGGATACAGGTGCAGGGACTTCACTAAAAATAATTCAAATATCTAAAAAAAAATAGAGTTATATGTCTAAATTACGAGGAAAACTTACAAGGTATTCTTAGAGAAAAATTATTGATCAAGAGGAGAATATCATAAGGTGATTTAAGGAAAAGGACAGACATAAAAAAAAATAGAGTTGTATGTTACATTGATAATAAACAGGAGAAATCTAAAATTCTAATTGCATGTAATACAAAAATAACGATCATTGAAAAATATCACTAGTTATACTGATAGATTAATGAAAACTTTTCTTTATTTTATAGTTTGCACGAATTCAAAATTATAATTTAATCTAAGGTATGACACATAGTATCAAGGATAAATATAATAACAAAAAGGGAAAAGTAATTAAACATAAAAAAATTAATTGAACTTTTGAATTCAAAGTGGTTACAACTTTCAAATTTATCCTTATTAATTTCAGAAGTTGGAACCCTATTTTATCATTGCATTTTACTTTTATCATTAAAATAAGAGAAAACAACAACAAAAAAAAAGCATAAATTAAACAAAACTAACCGAAGTACACATCCCTTACCCCCATTAGTCCATTAGGCATTACCCACTAACTCACACATGCACAAATTGTATTCAAAAGCATTGAGATAAAGCCATTTATATTCAAAATCTAATCATAGCAAACCACTAATCAACGGATATATATCTTCTTCTTTTCGCTTTTACAAACAATTTTTCATTGGTTTCCTCAGTTACTTATTTTTGGGTTTAGTATTTAATTTGATGGAAAAATTCTGAAAAAAAGATTATTTATTTGCTATTTAGATTTGGATTTGTTACTTATGTTGGTCTCATGTCCTTTAGACGATTTCAAAAAGTGTTTTATTTTGCAGGAATGATATCAATATGCAAAGTGATGAGAATGATGAAAGACTTGAATATGAAAAGAGTAGGCTTTTGGTATAAAATCAAATGGTAAAAGATAATTAAAATATAGATGGTTGGGAAAAGAATGTATAAAGAGGTGAATAGATTTATAAATATAATTAAGTTTCTGATATAAATAGTTTTGATAATTAAAATTAAAACACAATTTTATATATTATATTGATAATAGAAGAGAAAATAATTTTAAATTCTTGTTGCATGTAATGTAAATAATAATCATTGAAAAATATCAATAGTTATTCTGATTTACAAAATTATAGTTTGAATGAATTCTTTTTTTGAAACCGGTAACTTGGTAGTTTGAAGTTTACAATTCAAAACTATAATTTAATTTATGGTATGACATTATTTCAATGATACAATAACAAACAAGGAAAACTAATTAAAATATCATAGTCGGGAAAAAGTAAAACGAGGGGGACAAATAGGACCTGGGGATATTTATACTTTTGCTTAATTTAAAAATAAAATAAGAAAATAATATAAAAATATTACTGATAAATTTTGACAATTGAGAAAATGTAAACAATAAAATAAAAAATCTTATATAATATTAAAAGGAGTATAGTGGACTGGAATATCAACACAAACGAGGAGCTAATATTGTCTGGGCATTGCGTGGGTACAAATACTAGTTTAAATATAAAGTTAATAGAGTGTTGGCACTATGGCATATCCCTCACCAGAAATTAAAATAAAAACTTTCAATTGAAACATTTAGAAATCAATTGACTGTTGAAAACTAACCATCTCTGAGCCATAATACTGGACAATATTTGGATGTCTTAATCGGCTCAACAATGAAATCTCCTGCAAAATAAATGAATAGAAGAGCATACTCGAGTATGAGCTCATCGGGAATATAAATCTCCAGGCAGTCCAAGAAAATAAGACGTAACAGACTGCTACTTATGTAGTAAACATACCTGTGTCAACTGCTTTGCACTTTCTTTTGACTTTGCATCATCTGAAAATAGAGTCACTTCCTTCATTGCACACATTTCTCCACTATCACTGTAAGCACACACATGGCTAAGCATTAATTTTTTTCCCTTTTTGGGGATAAGATGGCCAAGCATTAAACCATGACACAGCAATCAATCTTTGACATGTCAATGATGAGGCAATACATAAAGATTGAGTTTCTTGTTCATTTGTAAAGGCCAAACACAATGAAATAGGAAACAAAAGAAAATCAAGTGTCGATCGTATTAATGTACCTATTAAAACCAACATAAACGTGCCCGAATGTGCCTCTACCAAGCAACTTTCCTTTTTTCCAGCGAGAGCCCGGGCTAGAAAGATTCTCTGCTCTACCAGGACTTCGTGGCACTGAGGGAGATGTTGCAACTGAATTGGAATGAGAAAAGGGTGAAGAGTTGGAAATTGCTAAGGGGGGACGGGGCAAAGGATGACTTTCTGGTTTTGCATCATCTGGCCAATTAGTCTGCAGTTCAGATGCTCCGCCTCCAGCCCTGGGATGAATAGGTGTGACAGCACCACTGTGAATTCTTGAGCTAGGTCCAGGACTTGTCATCCTAGGACTAGGAATTGGAGAGTACTCGGGGCTCCCTCGACTAGGCTGCCAAAACAATTGTCCTACCATATCTCCTCCCATGGAATTATGTCCAGAATTCTGACCAGAACCTGGGCTTGAACAATGGCCAGATCCAAGTAAAGGAAGATCTGGATAAGTCTTTCCTGCCCAAAAAGTAGAACTACTAACTTGCTCACAGCCAGCAGCTCTCATTGGACTTCTGGAAGGACTTGATATAGAACTATCAGGAGCACTGCAAAGGGCACCATGAGAAGGAATTTGTATACTGGACAAGTGGCTATTTAGTGGTCGTCTCTTCGGAGATCGAGAGGAGACATGTCCACTGGGAGAAAGATTAACTGGTTCTGTTGCCTCTTTTATGCTTATTTGTCCAACAGCAGATTGATCCTTAACAGCCAACCTTCTAAACCAAAAAAGGAAAAGAAATTATATCATCCAGGGTGGTTTAGATACCAAAAGAAAGAAGCAAGCAAACAAGCTAGACAAATGAATTGTTTACAAATTAGGAAAACAATTAGATACTTAAGCAGTTACAGAATCCCTTTGTGAATACATTCCATTTAGGTGACCTTCAGCATTTGCGTACCTTGGAGGGCTACCCAAGGGAGTCCGGTTACCAGTTTCATAATCAAATGCTAGTGGACTACGTTGGCGTGAATCAGTAGGATCATCACTCTCAACAGAGCACTCACTTGAAATTGATGCAAAGACAAGTTCTCCATCAGCATCTGCAGGGTCTAGTCTGTGCCTGATGCATGCAGGCTTTGGGAGAGGCAGAAACAGGGATGACTTTGAGCTCTTCTCTACTCTGGGTTTTGCAGATTGACTGATCCCAGAGTCTGCCCGCACTACACTTGCTGATGGCAAACCTGGAAGCGGAAGTGGTTGGGCTAGAGCACTTTCAGCGAAACTTTGACATCTGGAGACATTCTTGGAAGGTGATGACGACCTTGACTGTGCTTGGGACTGAGAACCCTTCTCAGAAGCAATGTCATTGTTGTGTCTTCGAGATCCACCTGATTTACTCGGAGACTTAGCTTCAGCTGGACTCTTAAACTTACGATGCAATGAATCAATAAAACTCTCTTTGGTCGCTTTCTTCTTTGCTTTTGACTTTCCCCACCATGAAGGCATCTTTTCTGGTGCTAAAAGATATATGAAACAAATAAACAACCCACTAAAGTCTAAAACAATTCTTCAAACAATCAAGACTTACTAAATGACAACACATACGCGAAGCAGAAAAGAGAGTAATATGACCTCAGTGAGAGCTGGAGTGATAGTAGAAGTGATATATCGCTACATGTATGTCATCATCACACATTTTTTTCAATAAAAGATGGGGAAGATATTATTTAGTCAAAGACATTCCAAAATAGAGACTCGTAACAAGGTAGTAAGAAACTGAAAGAGCAGTTATGAATGATAGAATCAGTCAATAAGAGCAGTCACCTTCCTAATACAACCATGAAAAGCCAATTAAATTACTTCATTGACAACGGATACCACGGAGAATCAAAAAGTGCCCACATTGTTAAGACTCTAAATTGGCATAGCTAAAACGAGGCAGGCACGGCTTGTCTCACCTCCCTGTTGATTGGGCTAGATGATTGTTTTATCACAATTTAATATTCTGAAAAAAGATGTATGAGTGTATTTTTGGGTTTCTGTGGTGTGTGTTTGTGTGGGAGGGGGGAGTAAACTTTTGATTCCTCGTTTGCGAGATTGGTGGGAAAAAAGATTCGCAAAATGAGACCTCTCTACCTGCTTCTACTCCATTTTTACACTTTCTCTACCTTCCGTCGCAATTGATCCTTGTTCTTTAGGTAAATAACTTCAACATTCAACCACGTGCACCATTCAGCCTTTCTAGAGCATGGGTGCAGCACATACTACTTAATAAATTCTAAGAAATATGAACATAAAATAATTAGTTACTTCATTAACCACTAAGTCATACCCTTAGCGCTTACGGTGGTCGATTTAAGAACTTCCAACTCTCCCACAACAAAAAGTAAATGAGATAAACTTGACTTGGCCTTCCCTGCCCAATGATGATGATAGCAGACCCTCCCCCTCTTGCAACTTAAACACGCTTTGATGCAATTATTAGGCATAAGATTTTACCCCTAAAAAAATCCATTCAAGTATTTCCAAGATAAAATTTTCCATATCTGTATTTCAACACTGAGAAATACCAAAACTTTGAGCAGGGAAGACCAAGCCTTCGTGACATAACTGGTAAAGTACTCTTTCATTTTATTTATTTTTTACGTTTCTTTTTCTTTCGTCTTCAGAAATGACACCAAAGATAGTAACTTCTTTTAATAACAACACCGTCCTACCTGTTTGAGCACACCTCCACTAGTCCTTTCAAGTATCTATTACCTGCCACCAGCATATATACGCTGGGTACCTCTGCCAACACTAGCTCAGACTGATTGGAGAATTCACCTAGTGCAATCCATACTGGAATAGGAACCTTTATTCTCAAGGACATCACTCTAACTCCAAAATATTAGTAAATATTTTCACTTCCTTACATGCAAAAAAAAAAGAAAAAAAGTGAAGTGATCCTACTGATCTCTAATTTAGACTTCAATTTTCGATATGAATCCTAAAAACACAGCCATTTCCGCGCAGATCTAGAACACTACAAATACACCAGGTAATCACACCACATATTAAAGTACTAAAAAAACAGAAAATGAACTAAAATTAAAGAAAAATTACCAAAACTCACCTTTCAACTGATTACTTGTTGCATCGCAAGCATAAACGAGCTCGTTTCTTCGGATTTGGACTATGAATCAACTCATAATTAGCTCAAATCAAACCCTAGAAACATTAGCCTTTCTCCTCTCGCTGTCCCACACTGAGATTTCAACTGAGAGACAACAGAGGGAGATAGTAAGTTGCTGAAGAAGATGATTTCGATAAAGCTTAGAAGAGATCGCGTAAGAATGGTGAAGGATAAAAATGGGAGTGAGGAAGCTAAGTATCAAGATTGGGGAGTTGTTTTGAAGGTAAAATGAATTTACTACTACAGTCTACAGTCAAAACACGAACAGTGAATTTGTAACGTAACGTGTTCATTTTTCAAGAAATATTTAATAAACAGGAATAGTTTAATAAATGATTGGTTAAATTTATAATAAGTCCTAAAAAAAAATTAAAATGACATTTATTATGAGACGAAGAAAACATGAGGGATATTTAGTTTTGGTCAACTTTTACAAATTTTATTTTTGGGTTTATGTTATTTTTATTATAAGACATTTTTGTTTTTACACATAGAAAATTGAAAATATCATCTTTTTTGTTCAATTTGTGAGTGGTAGGACTATGTATGGATTGATTTAATTGGATTTTGAAGTTTATCATTTATATTTATTGGTTTGTAGACATTCAAAACGTTATAGAATCATTAAGATTTTGCCATATGGGTTATTAAGCATTATCGATTTGACTATCAGTTTAACAATTAAGATTTCACATTAAAAAATTACTTAGAAACAAAGCTAAGTATCAAGATAGGAGAGTTGTTTTGAAGGTAAAATGAATTTACTACTACAGTCAAAATATGAACAGTGAATTTGTAACGTAACGTGTTCATTTTTCAAGAAACATCTAATAAACAAGAATAGTTTAATAAATGATTGGTCAATTTTATTTTTATTTTTTAATAAGTCGTGGAAAAAACTAAAATGATATTTATTATGGGACGAAGAAAACAGAAGGGATATTTAGTTTTCGTCAACTTTTACTAATTTCGTTTTTGGGTTTATGTTATTTTTATAAGACATTTTATTTTTTACGCATAGAAAATTGAAAAGATCATCTTCTTTTGTTCAATTTATAAGTGGTAGGATTATGTGTTGATCGATTTGATTGGATTTTAAAGTTTATTGTTTATATTTATTGATTTGTAGACATGCCAAACATTATAAAATCATTAACATTTAACATTTAACATTTCACTGTATCGGTTATTGAGCATTATCGATTTGATTATCAGTTTAACAATTAAGATTTTATATAAAAAAATTACTTAAAAACAAAGCTAAGGATCAAAATAGGGGAGTTGTTTTGAAGGTAAAATGAATTTACTACTACAATCAAATTATGAATAGTGGATTCGTAACGTGTTCATTTTTCAAGAAACATCTAATAAATATGAGTAGTTTAAAATGATTGATCAATTTTAATTTTTTTAATAAGTCGTGGAAAAAATTAAAATGATACTTATTATGGGACGAATAAAATAGGAGGGATATTTAGGACGAATAAAATAGGAGGGATATTTAGGACGAATAAAATAGGAGGGATATTTAGTTTTCATCAACTTTTACGAATTTTGTTTTTGGGTTTATGTTATTTTTATAAGACATTGTTTTTACGCATAGAAAATCGTAAAGATCATCTTCTTTTGTTCGATTTGTGAGCGGTAGGACTGCGTATTGAGCGGTTTGGTTGAATTTTGAAGTTTATCATTTATATTTATTGGTTTGTAGATGTAAAATGTTATAGAATCATTAAGATTTCGTTATATCGGTTATTTAGCATTATCAATTTTAGGATTTCACACAAAAAAATTACTTAGAAACAAAGCTAAGTATTGAGATAGGGGAGTTGTTTTGAAGGTAAAATGAATTTACTACTATAGTCAAAACAATAATCAGTGGATACATAACATGTTCATTTTTCAAGAAACATTTAATAAATAGGAGAATGATAGGTTAAATTTTTAATTTTTTTAATAAGGCGTGGAAAAAATTAAAATGACATTTATTATGAGAAGAAGAAAATAGGAGGGATATTTAGTTTCGTCAACCTTTACAAAATTTGTTTTTGGGTAAATGTTATTTTTATAAGACATTTTTGTTTTTACACATGGAAGATTGAAAATATCATCTTTTTTTATTCAATTTATGAGTGATAGGACTGCGTATTGATTGGTTTGGTTGGATTTTGAAGTTTATAGTTTATATTTATTGATTTGTAGACATGTTAAAATTTATAAAATCATTAAGATATCGTTATATCAGTTGTTGAGCATTATCGATTTGATTATCAATTTAACTGAAGATTTCACACAAACAAAATACTTAGAAACAAAGTGACAAATCAAATGCACTATGCACATGAGTTGACAAATTGCGTCTTGTTCTAAAGTAATTACTAACATTTTTATAGAATAATCGAGAGTTTGAGACAATTAGAAATGTAAGAATGAAATTGTTAGGATTCTTAGATAAAGAACGAGTCATAGGAAGATGAATGGGAAAATGTAAATCAATTGACTTTGACTTTTTCTTGTCTTTTTTAAAATTTTTAGATTGACCTATTTTGTATATAACTTTCAACTTATTGAAGGGAGGTTAAAACTTTAGAGTTCAATGAAAGAGCAAACTTCAGTCTCTTATTTTTTGTTAAAATGCGACTTAAAAATTTATTCCTCAAGCTCCTTTAAATAATAGTTCATTTATAGCAATAGAAAGTCTAATCCTTGTGAAAGTAAGAAATCTAAATCATATTTCAAACTAATAACTATAGCTAAACCTAATCTATGAAACATAAATTTTATTTTAGAATGATAAATAAAGCTACTAAAATAATATATTTAATCACTAACTTAATTGACTTTAACGCATCCACAACATTATGTCACACCCCGAGCCTACACCCTGGGCGGGACTGGCACTCGAGAACCATTGTTGGCCTAAGCGAACCCTTGGTCTGACTTACTTACACAGCGGAAGACTTAAAACACAAGAAATAGTCTCAAATAAGGAACTAATGAAATAACTTAGAATATCTTAAAAGAAACATTCAAACTAGCCAAGATGGCAACACAAGTATTAACGTATACAACTGAAAACGGAAAGACTAAAGAACTATAATTACTCGTCTATGAAGCCTCTAAAACAAGGAGGGATGTCGGGACAAGACCCCCAATCATCCTAACAACTAAAGTACTAAAGCAATGTAAAAGGAGCCCTCCGGAAAGCAAGGAGGCTCACAACTGACTCTGAGTGCTCAATTGGTTCAATGAGGCACTGAATGTTGATCCTAGTTACTTTTGTCTGCATCATAAAATGATGCAAGCCGAATGACATCAGTACATTAAATGTACAAGTATGCGAAGGGAAAACTAAACATACATAAGCTTGAAAGGAATCTGAAAGGAACACTTACCTTGGCTTTACTCAACTCATGAATAACTCAACTCAAAAGCAAGGTAAAACAACAATAATAGTGCAGTTATACAAAGCATTTAAAACAAGAGGTAGCAACTCAATTTGTTAAAGAAATGCAATAACAATTAAGTAATATAATACTGTGGGAGTTTCTCTAACCGACAACCACCACTATGAGCCTAAGTGATGATACAACGTCTTGCCCACGCTGCCAGAACTGTCCTATACTTTGCCGTCATATAGAACTCCTTAACTAAGTGGATCCGATAGTCTATGCTAAAAAGCACTAAGGAATCATCTAAAAAGTATGATCCTTTCTACCCATGATTACTACATGGTTTATGGAGACTTGAGTTATTATGAACTCGCGTCCCCATATCGGTGCTCAATACTACTCCCAAAATATATTCAACTCATATGTTTTAAAAACAAAACTATTTCTTTGGTTTGAGATAATTACTCAAAAACTAGCCCAAAGGCTCTCTTGGAAATCGGTGTTTCCTTTCTTGCTCAAATGTGAACACATTTTAACTCTTGGAAATACTTAGTTCCCATATAATCTTTGAAGAAATGAACTTTACTCTTACTCTTTACTCAACTCAAATTTTAAGTCTTAAAATAAAGTTAAAACGTTTGTAAAAAACTTTTGGAACACTCCATGAACTTCTCTTGACTTAACTCTTAACTTTTTGACAAGACTCTTAACTTTCCTTGAATTGAAGTATGGATTCAAGGCTCATGATCTCATGTTAATTATAATTTCATGATGTTTAGACGTACCTTAGAGTATAGAAATCGACTAGAAAATATAGATACGTTGCTAAGGAACTAGTACGGAAAGAAGGGGAAAAAAGTGGAAGAACTGGCGTCCCCTGGCGCTCTGAGAGGCGCGGGGAGCCAGCCCTTGAATTTCAAGGACTGGGTTGGGGCGCTTTGGCTGGCGTGGCTCCCCAGACCCCAAAATTCAGAGCCCCTGTTGGGGCGCTCTGGCTGGCGCCCCAGGCCCCTGTCCAGGTGAACTCTGACTTTTCTCCTTCGTTTTTCAACTCTAAACCCTTTAATTTCACTTGGTTCTTTTCCCAAACACTTAGAATCAACTATATCCTTAAGATACATAAGATTCCACTCGAAATCACACCTAAAATCATGAATCAAGCTCAAGGAACTTCAACAACAGAACCCACAAGATTACAAACGAATTATCATCAAGAAATCATAATATTTGTTTTCAAAACTACACAATTTCGCTGAATTAAATCATGATTAGCGCGTGGGTGAACTAACCCAACACTATGTGATCTCGCATACCTCGTAGGGATCACCCCTTGACGAAATCCACGATCTTAGCTTCAAGATTTTGACGATTTTTGTTTCTTCTCCTCTTTTCTCTTTTCTCAAAACCCTAACTCTTTTTCAATAGCGTAAACTGAATACTATCAGTTTAGACCCCATCTTAATTACCAAAAACGAAATTAAAATAATAGGGTATGGAAAAGACCAAACTACCTTTCCCAAATCCGGATTAGACTTTCCTTATTTAAACAACCCAACTTTCAATGGGCATATCTCACTCATACAAACTTGGAATTGCGCAAACTTGGTGGCATTGAAAAGATAATTCCAAGATTTTTCCTACGGTATCTAGAAGCACACCTAACTCATCATGAGCTAGGAGTTATGATCGTTTGCAATTGACCCAAAACTCAAACTTAGCTTAACAAATTGTCAGATTTTTCATTCTTTCCTAAAATACCTCTTTCCAATTCTAACTCTTTCTAGTTCTTTCAAATAGCGAGATATTACACATTACCTCCCCCACGTTATAAGATCTTGTAATCAAGC